TTTGTCAACAACAACTTTTGTTACAAATTCAAACTGATCACTGTTATTACCTTTTCCATTACCACCGGCTACCACTTGACCAGTTGTCGCTCCAGGTACCCATTTAACCACTCGTTGATTTGCACCGTCTGCAACATAAATGGTATCATCATCATCTACAAACATACCATGAGGAGCCATGAGTTGAGCCAGATTCGACCCATAGTTTCCTCCAGCGACAATAACACCTGCTCGGTTCCATTTTGATTTCGCGCATATTCCATCAAGAGGTAATGAAGGATTACCTAAGTGATATGAGATATGGGCATAATATATTTGACAAGTTCATATCATTTACTTGTTGTTGTCAATATAGGTGGACACATGGTTTCTGTGGCCATGTTCATTGGATAACACAATGGAACATTATGACAACGTGGATGTGTTACACATTCATGTTCAGGTTCCCAACATGTTCGATTATCGGCTGCACATGCGTTCAATTCAGAGCATTCGACATACAGATATGAACACATGCCGTCATTATGCGTATGAGCCGACTGAAGACAACCACATGCAATATTGGATGAACATTGGTCATAAAGAGAAGCGTTTTGACATGTCTGAGTTTCGACTCGAATTACTTAATCAATAGAAAATAAGATTCACAAATGAAAAGGATGGAGTTTACCTGAAAAACTAAAAATGAGCCACAGTTTATCCTACTTTAAGAATAATGGAAAGTTATTACTCACTTGAATACCACCAATAAAAACAAAAGATATGTTGCCCACATCATTTTCACTTTTTTTGCATTCTATATTCCTTATATGCGTATGACTATGCATTAATGTACATGACGATGATGGGAATGAAAACATCTGTTAAAGAGTGGACCTTTTTTTCTATTACTCTATGTTTTATATTGAAAAACAAAGGTGGGTAAGGACACCCACTCATTAACAGTATACTAGAGAACACAATACAAATATAATCGAAGAACAATCGAGAGCAAACAGAACAAAAAAAACAAATCTCATATGCAAAGATAAAATGTATTCTATTAGAACTTCGGTATTTGAACAGGTGTATCAATTAATTTTTAAATGCTCTAGCTTTTATCAGTGCAATAGCTGTAAAGTACTCTTTCTATGTCGAATCATCATGAAACAGCGATTTTATCTAACCATTTCAATTATTAATATTACTGGACTACAAAACGATGATCGGATAACTGGTGAAACTCTCATGAGATTTTTAGTGTCACAATGTGAAAGTACATGAAATTGAGTAAAGAGTAATTCAATTTATCGAACTAGAAAAAAATGTATTTTAAGCATGATTCAAAAACTATCATTGAACGTGTTAGACCTTTTCTCCTTTTTCTTTTATTATTATTCTTATTATCCCGATTCCAAAAAAAAAGCAATAAAATATGTGTTTCTCTCTATCTTATTCCATTCTATACCTCCTCCTTATATGCAGCATAAAGTACCATAGAAGGAAGAGGCAGAATGCCAATAACATGATAGGACCTTCTTATGTCAGAAGAGGCATCTCCTGACATAACTGAACATATCTACGAATATCAAAATTCGAAGAATAAGATATTGTTCTAAAACAACAAAACATAACAGGCAAGTATGCATTGAACAATGACAGAAAATCTAAGATTAGGCATCTCATGAATGAATTGTGAAGTCAGATTGTTTGTTAGATTTATGCATATGGGCTGAAAATGTGGTTTTATTTGAAAAAATTGTTTCTGAATCAACTAGCAAGCTTGGAGTAAATGCCGATAGACTCAAAAATCTATGCGTTATTTGAGTTATATTGGATATGAAAGAAGCTACAAGAACCAAAGAGAAGCTGTGCCATTCACATTCGAAGAGATCTAAAGCTCTACATGAGCTGGCATGTACAATCACAAATTGAGCTCCGTCATGCAAGTATATTTTGATTCAGGATAGTGTGAAACTAATTTCTTCAGACGAAGTGTTAGCAGTCATCAAGAAACACCCTCGATCTCTCTCTTTCTTTTCTCTTTATTCGTTCCGCTCCTTTGTTGTTATTGTTGTTATCGGTATCTAGTCTTTCTTCTCTCTAGCTACATATGCATATAACTGTAAAGATGCACATGATTATTCTTCACGTTCATACTGTTTCTTTTGTATAAATATCAATCTTATTAATGACCAACTGATGCAGTTATGATTCTAAACATACTCGAGGGTGACGTCTAGCAAAGATCGACACGCGTCGTTTTACGCTATGAATCCTCTTCACTATAAACTCATCATCAACAATTCTCATCATCAAAATAAATAGAAATTGATTGCTAATGTCCTGAAAAATGTGTTTGACATATCTGTGCGAATCGTTATGTAATTCATTTGGGATTAGAGGAGAGACTCTAAGAAACTTAAATGATAAAGCAGTCGACCTGTTATCGGAAGATGTAGATTCAATTCCTATTCTGATTTTATGATCTTTACTTAATCAGTCCTTCGTGCTTGTCGAAATATATCAATGTGAATGTATTTATTTAAATTTATATGCAACCCCATGGGCAGGTTACATAATTTCTTATTTCTAAATTCTTCGATTTATATTATAATAACATGCGATGCAAAAGTCTTGACAAAAATGTCAAACTTTAGTATATCATATTGCCAACTTCTAAACTAATTGAATATTTTTGTGCTAGAAACAGTGATGCTTGAATTACAAATTTTGTACCAGACACATTTTTCCAGAATGAATCTAAGAAGGAGGAAAAGTTAAAAATCACACGCCTCTAAAGGAAAGTTCTTGCAACTTCACCATTGCGCAACATCATTTTCTAATATCTGGTCAATTTTTTATATCAGAAGTGAATGAAAAAACACGTTTAATGATGATTTTTGTAGCGTACAGAGTAATCTTTCCAATGATGTGTTGAAAGTTAAATTTACTCTTGATTTTTATATCAAAATATAGCTTTTTCTGAAAGAGACTTTATCATTTGGTCCTTCTTACTACCTGACTGTTTTGCAACAATAAAAAATATTTTTCGATTTATTCTTTTTTCTGCTAAATTTTTATGATCTGACATAATTTGAAAAAAAGGCACAAAGAATTCAGTTCATGGCATAGTTTGGCGAGATTGTAGCTGATGTTCTTCCAAATTGATCATTCTTGCAAGAGACTATTGTACAAAAATTTCAATTTCCAAATTTTTTTTGATTAAAGATTAAAGATTAGATCGAAAAAATTTTACCAAAGCTGATATCGATAGAGCGGGTGTGGGTGGGTCGGTGTGGGTGTTGGTGGGGGTGGAGGTGGGGGTGGGGATCTGGATAGAAAGAAGAGCAACACACATGCACACACTCACTTTTACACCCACACCCACCCACACCAACACCCGAAATGGATTATGAACAAATAAAAGAAACAGTATCGATCATTTTTCTGCAATACTTGAAGAACAAATATTTATTAAAAATGGTTATTGTCTATATACGGTCATGCTGTACTCAAGAGAAATTCTTTTCATTTTTTAATATTTATTATAATATCAAAGGAGAATAACGGAGAGTTGCTTGTATTATCAACATGAGTTATCCATCAGATAAAATAAAACTCATGTTCAATCTACTTTTAAATTATGTATAAGCTTCAAAGAAATATTAAAACTTTTATTTCGAATATAAAGCGATGAAATGAACATCTGAGCAGACAAAAAACAAAACGCATGAAAACTCGATAGAAAATGATAATCATAATTTTTTTTGTCATCCGAAAATATTCGAGAAAAATACAGCGGAAGAAGGATCAAATTATAGACAATTTATATTACGACTTCTTAGTTATATTGACATCGATAATTACTACAAACGTGTCTGATCCACAAACGGAAATCACGATTAGTATTCTAAAATGTTCAACTCTTCACGCATTTCTATGCTCTTTTATTTTCTCATTATTTCCATGACTTTTCTGACATTTCTTTTCCAATGAAAATTTTTTGCTTGTAGGCGACTCATATAATACTAATTGATATGCAAATATACCTATGTAAGATACTTTCATTAACTGCGTCAGCATCTATCTAGATTAGAGTTGTAACCGGTTCGGCAAAACCGGTTCGGTCCTACCGGTCCGGACCGAACCAGTGGAGGTCATTCAACCGGTCGGAATTTACCGGTTTTTGCCGGTTGAAGATTGTTGACACAATATTTTAATTCTTTTTTTAGAAGAGCACTGCATGCCTCTTCATGCATTTTTAAAGAAAAGGAGATCAATTTTTTTAAACATAAAAATAAAAAAAAATTTTCTTCTGAATTTTTTCCAAATAAAAGATAAAACTATCTACTATTAAAAAACAAATGAACTGTCACATATAATGCACTTATATGCTTTTATCGTTTTTTTTCTGAAGTTAATCTAATTTTGTTTTGACATGGGGTTACATAAGTGTGATTAAATTACGAAGAGAAAAGAACACTACATATAATTGTACGAATAGAACCATATGTTGAATAAATGTCAACAATTTAAACAAACACTCATTATCATCGTTGTAGTAATGTCGAAGAATAAAATCTTCAAGCTACATTAAATATGTTTATAATTATTGATTTTTGTTATTAATTGACTGCGATTAAACAATTGATCTACATCTGCATTCTGGTCGTATTTTAATAAATTTGAATTCAACAGAACTGTATAAAATAATATAATTTTTTTATTTTCATCTTAATTATGAATACGGATGATCTTACGGCACAGCAAATTCAATACAAATTAAAATGCAAAGTTTTTTGAATTCGTTACAAACGAAAAAGGTAACAATGCAATATAGAAAAATGATGTATCTTTAATTGGAAAAAAATATGAGAATGATATAATTCATTTACTGGAAGGATGAGCAGCATGTAATCATTGTTACATGGCCTATAGAACGCATTCCAAATCAGATATTGATGGTAAACGAAAGAATTTTGGTTTAAATGATATACATGATCATTTAAAATATTGTAATGGAAACCAAAAGTAAAATCAACTGATAACCAAGGACAAAATGATCAAACAACAACATTTATTATTCAACCCAAATTTGCTTTTCACAAGAAAGGATTACCAGAAAAATATAAATCAAAACTTAAAGATGCTGAACTAAAATTTATTGTTGGTGTTTCACATTCATTTAATTTATTAGACAATGACGGTCTTTTGAAATTAGTTCAAATTGGTATTGAAATAGGTGTTAATATTGGTTTAGTAGATGTCCATAACATTTTTTATGGAAGGTCAACGATTCAAGAAGAAGCATTATCGAAGTTTGAACAATATACTGATCAAGTATGTACTTTATTGCAACAACCAATTAAGCAACATTGTGTTGCTGCAACAGCTGATCTTTGGACTAATGATTTAATGAAAAGAACTTGCTTTGATTTTACAATCTTCTTTATTAATGATATTTACGAATTAAAACACGCATTATTACGATGCAAACAATTCGAAGGTGAAAAATCTGGAATTAATATTTGGTATGAAATTGAAGAGATCTTCAAGTCATTCAACATATCATTTGGTGATACACCTATGACTATCGATCACAGATCAAATATGATTAAAGCTTTAAGTCTAACTGATGAAGCAAGATATCCTTGTTTAACACACCGAACCAATACTGTTTTAGGAACAGCATCGGAAAATGTAAAAACATCCAATATTGAATTTAAAGACCTCTGCACTGCAGTTGCGTTACTATGATAAAAAGTTTTTTCACTGAACAACATTATGAAATCGCCGGTTTTTTGCCGGTCTAGAAATTCTTTTTAGACCGGCCAGACCAGACCGGTCTAATTTTTCTTGACCGGTTACAACTCTGACCTAGATACATCATTACCTATCTAACTATTCATTGAAACTCATAGAGAAACATGTTTCTTCTTGCTTCTCTTAGTTTGCCTTGCATCTTTCTGAGTTTTCCTAACTATGCATCACAGGATACAGTGACTATACGATTTCAATATGTATGAGACTGATTAGAATTTGCTTCTTTGTTAGTACTTTTAGTTATTTAAGAGAGCACCCATTAGATCACCGAGAAATCGAAGCACTCGATAAAATTTAGTTTTTTGATTTGATATTCTCATCTTGTTCAGCATCATCTAAAACCTCTAAGGAGTGAGTGTGGGTGTGGGTGTGGGTGTGGGTGTGGGGTGTGGGTGTGGGTGTGGGTGAGGGTGTGGGGTGTGGGTGTGGGTGTGGGTGTGGGTGTGGGTGTGGGTGTGGACGTGGGTGTGGGTGTGGGGTGTGGATGTTACTCTTGTTTTCATACGTACACCCACATCCACACCCACACCCACACCCACACCCACACCCACACCCACACCCCCCCCCCACCCCCCCCCCCCCCCACCCCCCCCCCCACCACCCCC